AGATGCGTAAGGCTAGCGACTTTATAAAGAAGGCCCATTTTAGCAGCTTGTACCAGGGTTTGAAGCTTTTCAGTCATGGTCCACGACTCATGACCGTAGGTAAGCATGGGGATAAAGGTCAAATTGAACACCGAGAGCTTATTTTTCAGACTGAGCTCTGTCGCAGTGGAGCGGGTTAATTCACGCAGAACGCCGCTGGCTACTCCAATTAGTCGATCGATCTGTTCCTGAAATTTTCTTTCAGCAGTAAACACGACTTCGGAATATTGCAACTTCTTTACCTGCTCCACTGCTTTTCCGTTTGCAGAGCGCAGTTGACAGGAAAGCGAGAAAACACGGCTTTTCTTTTCAGGTATTTGCCGGTTACGTTGAAACTCGGCTGCGAACTTTTCCAGAAGGCGCTGTAGATCGGTGTTAGAAAATGCAAACAATTACTCCTCTTCAAATCTCTTACGCACATACATTCACCCACCACCGTGCTTGCGCCTGAGTATCGTATCCGGGGAGACAAAACAAACAGTAGAGGAGACAGAATGCGTCTTTAGTAGAGACCAGTGCCAACTTTGAAAAGTCCCGACTTAACGCCTTGTACTCTAATGCAACACTTGTTATCAACACAGTGATTGGATGGCTCGTAGCAACTGGTCAACCGTGATTTTTACAGTGGTAAGTTTTATTCGGTCTTATTCTTTAAGAAATTTTCTTGGTTATTTCGTGGTTATGGACATGAAGAAAATGCAAAATCAGAAAACTTAATTTAAAAGCCGATGTTCGGAAAAATTCGGAGCATATCCTTCAGAGCTAAACGGAAGGAAAGAAAGTTTCTAACCCCCCCTCCCCCGTTGGAATATCTGTCTTTATTACGCTAGTTAATTGTAGGCTCTGCTCTAGAGTGCTTGTTTTTAAAAGCAGAGTCAGCAGCCATGTGGCAAGCATGGCATATAGTTTCCCGTTTCCTTCTTAAAGCGTGACACTCATTTATTAGTCTCGGTAGAAAGGACGACGAGTCACCGCAACCGGGGTCTGAACACGGCACCTCTCGGTTGTGACTCGATGGTCTATCGCCTGAGCATCCCCGGCTTGAAGCAACGTGTGGTAAATTGGTTGCTGAAGGGAATTCGTGGTTACGACAAACACTGGTCCTCCGCTCTGATCGAAGCCGACTATTTTTTGGCAATGTGCCACTGTGCTATCAGGATTGTGAATAGTGGAAACATTGTTGAATGTAGTGCCCTCAGCGTTCCAGATAGATAAATGGCATTCGAAACTGACTGTTTACTCCCTGATTGATTGCAGAATATGAATATACTCACTAGAGGTAGAACATTATGCGACGTAGAATACTCTTTTTTTGTACTTCAAGGAAAAGTCTTTAATGTAAACGCCAGGCATCATTTTGAACAGCTCTGTCATCGTTAATCTGGAAAATTGTGCTGTTAAAATTTTATTTGCAGCTGCTCATTAGAATAGCATTCTAAACAGTCGACCCTGGGAATCGCCACTGAAGTCGCATATTAGTATAGAGAATTCTAGATTGTAAAATGGCGGTCATGAATCTCAAAACGATCGTTGTCCCGTTAACAACAAAAATAACGCTAGATGTCAGATAAATATAGTACATAATGTTCTGCCTTTAAGAACTGTCTGTCTTGGAGAAATGCGTCTTAAGGATTTGAAGGCACCATTCATGTTTACCCACGAAGGTAGCAGGATTAAATTCTTCATCGATAGTTGCCTGAAAATAAATAATTAGCGTTTTAACCGATAGACATAAATCGCACCACCATAGTCCACCATATACGAAGGCAGCAGAACCATAACGGGCAGTATCAGATTTGAGACAGATTATCAGAGCAGGTCTTTACAGTGGCATTATTGGAGAGTGTTATTTATTAGAAAGTTTATTTTGCTGGTGGATGTCAGAAATATTAAACCGGTGCAGGAAAGACGGCTAAAAACTAATGATATATATTTTATTTTACTTAACACAACTATGAAGTATAATTTCGCAAAATTGTACAAGATTGCATAGTATTACAGCACGCTTCCGCCTTTTTATTTTATTATTTTTAGGGAAAATTTAATAAAAGTTTTACTTCGCAACGCATTATAGCGAATTCTTAAGACTAAGTTTCGAATGCCCGCTAGTTGTTTTCAGCGGACGTGCTGATTCATGATCACTGTTTACACATGTTCACACATTGTTACAAATGGGTCAGTCTGACCCCATGTAAAATAATTGTAACCGTTTATGTAAGCGTGATTGTGTAAATTGGTAGTCCAAACCGGATAACAACTTCATTTGGATCGGTTGACCTGATTTTGCATGTTAGGCTGTTCATCACGATGATTAAAGCTGTTCACCTGGGAGCTGCTATGTTGAAACTGCATATTTGGCAGATGATATCTATTGCTTTTTCTTTTGCGATAAAGTATTTTACTCTTCTGAATAGCGATATTAATTTTGCTTTGAATTTGAAACCAATATTGATATTCACCGAGGTTGAAATTCCTGTCAATGAATTCGGAAAAACCGCATGGAGCATGGAATGTAGGTGATGACAGCTAGTTCCGGTGGCGGCCGTATATTCGCTAAGCGTCTGTTTCTTAGTATGCTACAAACGTAAAAATGATATATAATTTACATACTAGATGGTATTCATGTTTATTACGAGATTGCTCCGCATTGCGTCTTATTGCCTTAATCCTCGGAAGTTTGAAATTATGAGCAACCCATCAGACACGGCTGATCTACAGGTGGTATAGCGAGGAGAAGACATGGAAGAATTCGATCAGTTTAAGTATCTCGACTTAGTCACCTCCAGCGACTTCAGCATCTGATCAGAATTAAATAAGAGGATCGCCTTTGCATCCAGTGCCTTTGGTAATCTGTCGAATATGTGGGCTGCTGAAGTGGTAACCCATTCCATATAAATCCGCCTGTTTCTTACCTTTGTCAGATCAGGATGTTGTACGCCATTGAGACAGCAGTTCTAACGAAGGAGTAGGGACGACGGTTGAACTGCTTCTACCAGCATTGGCTTCTACGCATGATAAGGAGGTAGATGGCATGACCACGTAAGGAATGAGTTCGTTCTTTTCCAGGAACAGATGACCTCTGTAGATTTGAAGATCAAGAAAAGAAGGTTAGCCTTGCTACACAAACTGATTGAGTAGAAACCATTTACTCCAGGCCATAGATTTCTCGCGTTGAGCCGAAATACGTCAGACTTCGGTTGGGAGACCGTCATTCAACTTTGAGAAACAAGATAGAAGCCGATTTCCTCCCAGACATGAATCGTTACTTCTACCATGCAGTATGCGGGCTTTATAACAGAAGCGTTGTAAAACCGTCAACACAAGTTCTGCTTATGCAAAAGGCTCAAGGCGATGATCACATAATCACATGCACACGTAGAACGACACGTTTTATTACAGAAATCGCTGACGTTTCGAGCATGCTGGGCTCTTTGTTAAGCAAGGTACAGTGATACAAGCAGATCTGATGAAGGTCAAATGGTTTAAATCAAGTTTTTTTTCTATAAGTGGCTGAGCCAAAACTAATGTTGACAACAGTTTATTATTATATGATGTTCAGATATTGGTCAGATCGATGCCATTTCCCTGTTTATATATCTGTTAGCCTGAATGAACAGAGCTTCTTTGATCTTCCTAAGTGTATAGTTCCTTTTCGATGCAGATTGCGCTGTAGTGCTACCAATCTCTTTCTTAATTTTCAGCGACACTATGTTGAACAGCAGCAGAGTTATT